GGGGTTCGCCAAAAAACAGAAGTGGCCTCATCACAACACGGACTGTACAAAACACTCGCAATGACAATTCAAAGAACTCCTTCATGTCTCTATGATCCAGCCGTCATTGTTCTTCTTTGTCTCGCTGCTTCTCTTGAAGTGCCGCACTCGATTTTTAAGGACGTACTGCTGCTGTGGTGAATGGCCCAATTTTCAACCTGTCAAAATGACAGACGGCCTTAAAATTTCCCCGTCCACTCTTAAAAAAAATCCGTCAATGATGGAAAATTGTCGGTTAATGTACCCTCTGCAGAAACAGAAATACATGTTTAAAAGATGTAAATAATTATACAGACTTGTTTAACTTAGATTTCGTGACAAAAGACAGGCTTTAATTTTTTATCACAAATCACCCCTCCTCCTCCCGAGTCATCACAAATGACATAGGAAATGTTGGGTTTACTTCGGGCTCGGGCCTGCAAATCAAGATAATTGGTCGGGCTCGGGCTGGGTTGGGCTTAAATACCAGCAGGCCGGGTCGGGCTGGATTTTTTTGGCCCGATCTTACCTCTACATCAAATCCATGGTATCATTTTAATCACTGTCTGTCATGACATTTATTTTCCACATGATGGCGCAGTAGTACAAATAAAGCCTCATGATGCTTCGGCCCAGGAACGAACCAGTTGGATGGAAAGCCTCATTGCTTCATGAGGCTTCATTTTCCCATCACTACTAACTAAAAGTGCTCAAACAAAGTCCTGGAAGGAGCCAAAGTAACAAAAGAAACCTGTGACAAAACATGACAGGAGCGGAGCACACAGTCACATACTCACAACAACCCAAGCAAGACTGACAGAACTCAGGGAACTAAATACAAGCAAAGTTACGAGACAACGAGAAACACCTGGACAAGACACAAAGGGTTGAGGGAGCTGATTGGTTAAACACAAGGGACACTGATGACGAGAACAGGTGGCGACAAAAAGAGCCCATGAGGAAACAAAACCAAACGTAACCAGACAGAAACATAACAGTGAGGAAGTGATTTAGGTGCAGATGGAAATGAGGCCCTCTTGGGGAGACGAGCACTTTATTTGTGAGGATGTCTGAGACATTGATATTAAACGTTGAGTGATAATCCACAAACAGCATCCTGACATATGATTCAATTTCTCTGCTGAGTCAGTGGGGCATCAGCATGTCTGATGCTGTTCCAAGTCTTGCCTTTGTAGTTTGTCAATGGTTGGAGTCCCTGCCACAGTCTGCGTGGGTCATTGTCCGTCAGGTAGTGCTCCACTGTTTGTTTGTGTAACCCTTGTGCTGCAATTTCTACGATGTTTGTAACACATGGGTTACCCCATATGTTACAATTTCTACAATTTTTGTAGATTTTTGCGTATTGTCATCTGTAAATCAAAGACACAGCATAAAAAGTGTGTGATCTGAAATCTTCCAATTCATGTTTTATTTATATAGATTTATATTTATGTTTTGGTCATAGCACAATACCGCTTTTATTGTCCATAGAGGGCAAAAATACAAAGAAAGAAATAAGAACTATATGTGTATGTATAGCACTGATGCCACTGAACATGTCGAGTGGTTGAAAGTGAAATAAATATTCAGGAATAATACTTTTACAATTTTTGTAAAATTGTATGTTGCGTTATATAAACTTACTTAGATTGACTGCAGCACATGGTAAATAAGCCTCCTTTGATGCCCCTCTTGAAGGCAACTCTGGCAGAGCTGTTCTGTTCTTCGTCCCCTGACCGAAATTCGGTATTTGATCTTCTCAGGAGTCTTTTGATTTCATTTGTCATCCAGGGGTTTTGGTTGAGAAATGTTCTGATATGTCTTTCAACTGTAACATTCTTAATGCAGTATTTAATATAACCCAGGACAACCTCTGTGTATTCTTTCAAGTTATCGTGATGGAAAAAGACCCAATCAGTCTTTTGGAAGCAGTCCTGGAGTTGAGCAAGGATGTTGGAGTGAATTTAACATGATCGGGGCCCTATTTTCATGCTTAGCTCAAGTCTCGCACAAAGTGCAATATAACTGTGCAGAAGTGGAATTTTCTCTTTTTTATTTTTGTAGGGTGCAGCTAGGAAGGGGTGTTTGCACCATTGTGGAAGTGAAAACAGCCAACTTACTTCCTGGCCAATGAAAGCGTCTCCGCTCATTCACTTGAAATTCAGCGCAGGAGAGGCGTGCTCACAGTCTTTTTCATTGTGGAAACAGAGACTGACTCACTGGAGCCTGTACAGAATCAACCGTCTCTGAAATATACACACTCCATTTAGTTCTTGCCCATTTCCTTTAATTGTATGAATGGAATAAACCTACAGCGGGCAGGGCAATCCGCTTCTTACTTGACAATCACACCATGTTTGTGGTTCAATAAAATAAATAAATAAATAAAAGCACAGTGGTAAATGTCCATGGGTGATCTCTTAATTTTTTACTGTCAGTGTATGAGTGGAGGTTATTTGCCTGATGTGTGGCAGGGAGTCACCGACTGCATTTTTTTGACAATTGACCAATTCATTCCCTATCAGCTGTGCTGCTCAGTGTGAGGTGGGCCTGAGATGTTCCGAAACTGACATTGTGAGACAATTATGTACAATGCTTGTTGGGTAGGTGCTAGGGCTGATTCGTTTAAGAGGGTAAACTGTAAACCAGATGGTGTTCCGGTCAGAACACAGGTATGAAGAGACAGGACTCAAGGGTGTGTTTCAGTGTTCTTTACTGGAGATGTTGCAGTGAATACAGGGAAATACAAACAATTAGAGGGTGATGTTGGTTGAGATGATTGTGAGGGATGCTGAGGAGGGATGTGTACTTCAACTTCAATGTTACAACATAACATTTGGAATATTCCTGGATGCCACCAAGGAACCAAATATCAATGGCAGGGTAATGGCACCATCTAGGGGCCACACAAATTAACTCCACTTATGGTTCATGACACGCGAGCCGACACACAAATTGCAAACAAATTACACCCACCCGGCCGTCGTCAGGACGGGAAGGAGCTACTGTAATGGGAATTTGACATATAACAGCGCAAAATGGAAGTAACTGTTCGTACTATTGAATGCTGACCAGTTATTTTGCCGATAAGCTCATGCACTAGACTGCATTTTGTGTAGCTGTTCAAAATGCTGATTGTGCTGACCTTCGCCCCTCCCAAATAGAAGAAAATAAGATAAAACGACGCGGGGAGAGAAGGCTCCCTTGACAGATCTGTGAACGGTGTCTCTCCATGTTTTTTTTTTCTTTCTCAAATAAATCTGATAATTTTTTTATAAATACTTTCGTTGTCTTGGTTTCCCTGGACAAGACACTACGGTCGTCGCACCATTAACATATAGTGACATAAAATTACAAACAATGCCTCAATATTATCAGGTTATTATCGCCGCGAACCGATGCTCGCCGGCTAAGGTGGCTAACTGGCTCACGAACACGAGCCGCAAATGACTACATGTGACAAGCGCACCTCGCTGTACTTACATTTTGTCATGAACTCGGGCTTAAGGAATCCCCAATGAGGTAAGGGGTACAAAGGAGTTTACAGGACACAAGGCTGAGATCGAACT